TTCAGCATTTTCACCTCTTTTCAGCACCATTTTCAGGTTTCTTATCTTTTTTTTGCTGAACGTTCAGCATTTTCACCTCTTTTCAGCACCATTTAGCTTCTTCTTTACAGTGAACATTTTTTCTCTCATCATATCTGTGTTTGAGACCAGAGCTGGTTTGGCTCAATGGGAAGAGCAACCGCTGTAAGATCTAGTGGCACAGGTTCGAATCGAACATGTGCCATTTGCTGCACATCTTCCGTACTTGCATGTACTCTGCTTTATTGACACTGCATAGTGTACCCTTTCACATACAGCCATCTTCAGCAAGCACTTCAGCTTCTAAATCTCATTTCAGCACATAATTCTGTTTTATCAGTTGTTTTGCTGAATAGGACCACATTATCAGTGTGATCACCAGTTTTGCTTTCCAGAATGAGCCATGTTTTAGCTCAGTGAGATGAGCAGCCGTTCTCAGAGCAGGAGGCCCGGGTTCGATTCCCGCTTATGACAAAAAAAATTTCAGTTAACAGTTCAACCTTTTACACTCTTTTCCACTCAAATTTCAGCTTTATCACTTCTTTTTAGCAGAATTTTCACTTTTTCACTACTTTTCAGCACAAATTCCAGCTTCTTCAGCTGTTTTTAGCACAAACTTCAGCTTCTTTACCTCTTTTCAGCAGAAATTCTGCTGATTCACGTCTTTTCAGCAGAATTTTTTACCTTGTTGGTCTGTTTTCAGTGGAATTTTCAGTTTCTTCATCTATTTTCAGCAGAACGTTCAGCTTTTTCACCTGTTTTCAGCACAAAACTCAGCCTCTTCTGCTCTTTTCAGCAGAATTTTCAGTTTCTTTACCTCTTTTCTGCACAATTTTCTGTTTCTTCATCTATTTTCATCAGAAAGTTCAAAAATTTCACCTCTTTTCAGTGGAATTTTCAGCTTTTTCACCTGTTATCAGCACAAATCTCAACCTCTTCTGCCCTTTTCAATAGAATTTTTAGCATCTTCACCTCTTTTTCAGGACAATTTTCAGTTTCATCTCTTTTTAGTCACCTGAGAACCAATTTGGCTCAGTGAGATGAGCAGCCGCCTTAAGACCATATAGCGCAAGTTGAAATCCTACCTCTGGCTCTGGCTGCACATCTTCCCTGCTTTCTTGACACTCTTCAGTGTAGTCTTTCAAATAAAGGAGTTTTCAGCAGAGTTCAGCTTCTACACAGTGTTTTGAGCAGTGTTCTTCGGCTGTTTTCAGATTCCACTACACGGCATTCACACAGCTTTTTCTAGTTTTTGTTTGTTTGTTTGTTTGTTTGTTTGTTTTTTACAGCGCATCATGTTCTGCGTCCTGATTGGCTATAGATTGTCAATCAATCTCGTGCCGTGTATCTTGTACAGTACAGAATGCGTTCAGCTTGTCAAATTTACATAAATCTTCGATCGCTAGCAGTGTGACTGAAGTGCTATAAATTTGTAGGTTTTCTCCACAACAAACACAACAATGTCGATGAAACGTTTTGCACCATCAAAGGCAGCCGCGGGTGCCTTTGGCTTCACTCTATAATACTGGACTTATTTTTCTACGAAGGTTTGGACTGTGAGAGTGTTTAAACACGAAAGTGTGAAAACGTTCATGCTTGTCTGAGAAAAGTTTATAAAGTTTGTAGTGAGGACTTTTACAGCCTTAAAACATCTAGAATAATTGTAAAAAAACCAAAACAAAACATAAAATAAAGTTGATTTCACCTATCGCGGATTATTTTTAGAACGTAACTCCCGCGATAAACGGGGGACCACTGTATTGCTTAATGTTCAAGATGTGTTAAAAAGAAAAAACAAACAAAAAAGACTCATAACAGCAACTGTGAGTGTGTGCATTGGGATTCTAGCAATTATAACAAAATACAGACATTTAAACCTGTCAACAAACTGCTGCTCAGTGTGCCGTAAACATGTAACTGCAAACATTACCACCGGATGGGGAGATGGATAATTGACCAACCAGAAACAGCTCTTTAATATTGCTTTTGCTAATCACCTTATGAAAACTATTGCAGTGTGCTTTAATTTTGTACGGTAAATAAAGAAATGTATCGAACTAAAATTAAAAAGAATTTAAAGAAAATTGTGCAAGAAATATTTCAGCAGTGACAAATTGTTGGCTGGTTAGCTGAACGGTGATAACAACAAAACATAAAAATTAAGCACACCTAGCACGCAGCAGCACAGATTGTTTAGAGACAAATGTGTGATATGGACAGAATTCCACAGTGCTCTGTAATGTGGCAGTAATAAGCAGGGTGACAACCCATCTGAACCTGAACCAGGTCTAACTTACATGTAACCAGGAACTGTTGTAGGACATACATGTTTTGATTTGTTTGTTTTACCTTTAACTAATTTAACTAGTATCTAACTAGTTAGATATTATTTGTTTTTGGGTTTTTTTCTTCTCTTTTTCTCTTTACTTTATTTAGCTCTTTGGTTTCTCATCTTTTGAAATGAACAAACATGGTCTGTCCCTTTTCCTCCTTCAAACAGCCAGAGCACAGTAATGTGTGTTTCTGGTACATCCCTCCCAGTCTGAGAAGCTTGCCACCTGGACCTGACAGAGATAGAAGACTCCATCAGGTCAGTGTACATCATTACAGTGGTTAAGTTCTGGTTAAGCTTTGTGTTATTGTTGTAGTAGATATTTCTTGGTTTATTTCTTTGATTATTTTCTTATTTTTATCCTTAGGTTTCTGAGTTAGCTTTGGTACCTTTTAAAAGTAAGGCTATTATTATTAGTGACTGTTATGATTAGGCGGTTGTCGTCTTTGTGTTAGATATTTGTGTCATGTTACTTCCTGTGTTATTTTGATAACGATTTGTCTTTTTAGTCTGCATCTGGGACCTCTTCTGTCTGTTTGTTGATGTGTTCATACTACCAATGATGATCTTTAATATATTTCTCTGCAGGTTGCTCCTCGGATCAAAGGCAGGATGATGGAAAAGGGCTCTGTTCTGATTGGCTATCAACCGTTGGGAACCAAAGTCAATTTCTTCAGGTGTGTGTTTTCCAATCCTGCCACTCAACAAGAGGACATCGACTTTCTGCTGGATGAGATTTGCCAGCTGGGTGCTGACCTTTAAAATGTTTAAGTTAACAGGTTTTTGATATTTATACAAGCATAAAGTAATTTTAGTTTTCCATTAGCCTACATAATATGCATTGAAGTAAAGCCTGACAATAGTGTAGAAGCTTAAGGAAACTTTCTTGATTTATATTCCAGCTTTCCACAGATTTAATAATTCAGTATTGACTGTTATTGTCATTTTCTACTATGGATTTTTTTGTCTAATCAACAGGCCCTTTAACTTTCAGAAACCATCTGAAATAACCAAATGATCAAATGATCTTCATTGTTCTCAACATTTTTTATGTATTGTTATGATGTGTAAGAAACAATAGTGGAAGATGTGTTCTGTCGAGAGAGGAAGTCCCCTGGCTTACCTCTTTTTACATCTGAGACAGCGTAAAAGGACAACATTCAGGACTTGACATTTATATTAAAAATTATACGGAGTGCATAAGAATAGTCTATTTACATGTGGTTTTGTTATCTTAAATAAATCATCTTTATTCTTAATCAAAGACATGAATTAAAATATAAGTCTGATAATTCCGGGGTGGCTGTAACTCAGGTGGCAGAGCAGGTCAGCCACTAACCAGAAGGTTGGTGGTTCAATCCCAGGTTCCAGTTTGCATGCCAAATATCCTTGGGCAAGATACTAACCCCTTGTTGTTTTCTGATGCATCCATCGGAGTGTGAATGCGTATGAATGTTAGATAGAGCACTTAAGAGCTTAGAAGAAGTGCTTGTGTGATTAGGTGAATGAATTAGTTGTATGAAGCGCTTCGATTAGAAAAAGCGCTATATAAGAACCAGTCCATTTACCATTAATGAGAAATGAGTTGAGTAATGAAAACGTTTCTAATTTGTGGATTTTGTATGCATAGATGTGATCCGGTTTCAACAGACAGATTAGTCTCTGTGTGTGTCTGTGTTGCCAACCCATCATTACACATAATTCTGAAAAAGAGAAAGGGTATTAAGTGTTGTAACTGTGTGTGTGTGTGGACAAGAAGGATGGGAGGAGTGAGTAAGTGAGAAGCACTGAGCAGCAAAAGAACGTCTGGCTATGAACGGCATGTCTTATTAAAAGAAATTGCATTATTTTGTGATTGAAGAGAAAATGTTTTCCTATATATGTGAATTAAAGCAGTTATGTTTAAACGAATGTTCATGTGAAAATGAGCTAACGATAAATTAAGTAAGATTGCATAATTAATGTAACATGAAGCGTATTCATATGTGACTGAGTGTTCATATGTAGTGCAGCTTTCTATGTGAAGAATAACACAGAAAATAAGAAAATGTAATAAATTGATTTTAAAGTTAAAGATTTCAAACTTTAACTGTGTTAAATCAAGTATGTGTTAACGTTAGAGAGAGGATGATAAGGTGTGGCTGGACGTTGGGTGATTAAATGTTAACAATGTTGATTGGATGTCACCGTGGGGGAGACCAGATGTCATCTCATAAGATGTAACATACAGTAAGAAAGGGAGGAGAAAGGATGACCGGGTATAAAAGTGTTGTGCAGAAGAGATAAGTTGTTCTTCCCTTTGTCTTCTGTGGGATGAGCAGTACAGAAGATTGGATCTCAGAAATTCACAGTTGGATAACCCAACAGAGATATGAGAGGGATGTACCACTGCCCCAACTTTTAAATTGGTTTTGTATTGCTCCGCTTTTTCTATGCTTACTTTTGTGTTGTTAGATTATAAAATCAAGAGGATTTCCACTAAGCATGGAGCACTAGATAAGCACATCCTCAGGCTTGGGGTTCTCTCTCCAACCTTTCTCCTCACAAAGATCAGAACAAAGCGAGCATTAGCTCAGAGTAGGTTAATTGAATAAACATAAGTGATTGATTCTCTTTTTATCATTATTTGATTCTGCTTTCCTTTGCTCCTGCTAAATTCATTTAATAAAACATGCAATTAAAAAGTCTCAATTGTGGACATTCCCTTTTTCGCCCTTTGTGAAAAAGGAAAGGTAGAAATCTGAGTATTAATCTACATTAGTACAAATAGCTCTTACACATTACCCCAGCCTTTAAAAGTAACAGACCCTTGGAGCTTAGTTTAGCAAGCCGCTAAGCTAAGCCCAGTTATAGTTCAAGAGCACTGACCTACTAGTTGGGGACCTGCTGTTAACGAGTGTGGCTGGTAGGACCAGGCCTGCAAGTCTAATGAAAGTTCCTGTGTTGTTGTTTTTTTATATAAATATATATATATATATATTTATATATACCAGGGAAGGCAGGGTGGACACCTGGGGGCTTTGAGGCAGTTAGTACTGAGTGAATCCCTTCACCCATCAGCTCCATCTAAGCCCTGTATTGGCTATTGGTAAGACCCACATGATCAAAGATTCAGATTAGTTAGACAGAGAGCTGATCCACACTTCCTGTGCAGGGGTGCTGGGGTCCCCCAGATCAATACTTCACTGGTTTAAATAGCATGACTACTGATGCATGAAATACATGTCCTAGGTAACACACCTCCTGCTGGAAGAAGGCACACTTGGCCTGCTTTACCTTGAGACCCTCTTTATGCAGCCTCCCCAGCACTACCTCCAACCTTTCCGTGTGCTGCTTATCATGGATGTTTTAAAATAACCGGCACACACACCTCGTGAGCAAAGTGAAGTGACTTTAATAAACACATTGCAACGTGGAGAGAAACACTGTAGCCAAACTCCAGGGTGCTCTCTGACGATGGCCGCCTCCCTCACATCTTCTATACACACACAGACACTTTCAAACAAAGAAAATTCCACAACACATCACGTGAGTCTATACCTTCAGCTCAGCTCATCCTGGAAACCTTCTCTTCAGAGACAGAGAACTACGACCTTGTTTTCTGCTTAGCTGTCACCTAGAAGTTTACATCCCTGATAAGCAGAAGGAGCCCCACTACCTGCTTAACATCTCCCATGAACTTACAATGGCCCGACTGTTTATGTGTATGTGAGTGACAGAGTATAAGACCAATTTGTGGTGCTATTCTACATGCATACAACTGGTGACAATATGAGTCTACAATTACTAAAGTGATATGGTTAAAATATGTGATCAATATATCAGAAAAGAAATCTTCCACCACATGCTCAACAGTAGAAGAGAAGACCACAATGTCATCCAGATATAGGAGCAGTGACTGACACAGACAGGTCTGCTGCATCAGGAGCATCACTAAGGCCAAAAGGCTTAAGGCCTGTAAGAATATCTAAAGACTCCTCAATACGGGGACCAGGAAAGGCATCTTTCCTGGTCTTACAATAGGGCTTTGGAGCGTGGTGTCATGCCCCCTCCCGCCATGACAGTAGGCCAAACAAAGCACACGGAAGCGTCAGCTATGGTTCGTACGTGCTGTGTTGTCGGTTGCAACGTTAGATCACACGATAGGGAAGGCAAGAAGCTGGAAAATGGGCTCTCTTTTCATTGTTTCCCCTCCTGGAGGCAACGGGAGGGATCTCATGTATCCGATATTACTAAACGTCAGGCTTGGATCGCAGCGGTCCTACGAGCAGATATCGAGTTCTCTGCCATCCCCCTCTGGCTTCTGCTGCGTGGCTACTGGGTGACCCCTCATCTGGGGCTCTCCTCAGCTCTTCCCATGAGGGTGGCACGATGCCCCTCCGGTGGTCCTCCTTGGGCTCTCGCACTCTGGGGCCTCTGGATGTCTGGGGCCTGGATCTCCTCCATGCCTGCTTCATGCCCTGGGAGACGGGGCTATGCCTCTCTACACCCTCTAGCAGACCATTACATGGGGAAACCTTTTGAATACAAGCGCGCTGATTCACACAGGTGCACACAGGTGTTCACTGTTCATAGACATAAACTACACCTCTATTGGCTGCTATTTCCAAGCACATTGTGCGCTGTCGGTCCTCGTTGCTACACAACAACATTGAATGTTTAGTATTTACTGCTGTTTACACTTAGCTAGATTAACGTGATGGTGTCGTGTTTAGTATGTTGCTTTGTTTTTTTTGCTGGTTTTCTCTTTTTCTCTCAACAGCTGATCCAGGAGATTTTTTTTCCTCTTTCTCTTTTTAAGTTTCCTTTCTCACTGTCCCTCTTCACTCCTGTTTTTCTTTACCTTCATCTTTCTTTCTCCCTTTCCTATCCCTCAGTCATGTCTGTCCCGTCTGTAACAACTGAAAATAAAATAAACAATAACAACAAAGGTTGATCAAATGGACCAATATGGCAACACTGTGATGATCCATTTGGCAAAGTAAATCCATTGGGTATCCTTGTTGGTCTTCAGACAACAATTCCGATGGCTAAAGAACCAAATGGGACAGGAAAGGAGAAAAGAAAAAAAAAGGTGTAGGAGTTGCCTGACAAGGGGCTAATTTTCATGGATAGACTTGGAGAAAATCAGGATGTCATCCAAATAAACAAAGAAAATTATTAAGAAAGGCCCAGAGGAAGATCTAAAGACATGGAGGGAGAGTCCAAGTTAACAGAAGGGAGGCTGATTTCAAACAATGGTGATGACACCAGATAATCCAGCCAAGGTTACTGTTTTTGCTCAAGTCTGTGTTTGGGTTATGGAGGCTTAACCAGGGGTGACCAAGAACCAGAGGAGTGCAAGGTGTCTTTAAAGAGTATCAAAAAAATCTACTTAAAAGTCTGCTACAGCTACACTCCTGTTACCTTGTTTCTACGTAAAATGTCTATGAACAGCCAGATCAGGGTTCATGCCCTTAAACACTTTTGAATTTGGTGATCAAATTATCAAAAGATTTGGGTCAGTCTTTAACCTTGACACCATATCAGCTCCAGAGCAACTCCACAAAGTAATTTTTGGACTGTCTAATTCATAGATTTTAGTTTACTGCTAGAACACTTGGAAACTAAGATAAACACCACATTTCTTTCTCAAATCCCCTGTAAGACTGGTGATGTTGTCAAAGGCTTCTCTAGAGGCCTGCTGTGTTCTAGTTGGGGGGGGGGGGGAGTTAGGGGGGGGGGGTGACGCTATCTTTTGGTTCTGATCCAGATGACTTTATCATACCTTTTAATTCCACAAGCCAATGAATGATTGCGTTTTAACTGGATTAAGATTTAACGTATTAAACTATAGATATGATGGATCTTGAATAAAACACTGTATAAAGGAGATCTTTATACAAAGGTCTATAGTTTTGTTTTCTGTAGTGACTGTTTAAATACTTTATATATTTTCCTCTTACTGTTGCTAGCGGCTCCATGAACAAAGCAAAGACTAGGAGGAGGAGGACATCCTTGCTTGGCCCCACTGAGAAGTGGGAAAATTTGTGAAAGTAAATGAGGGTAACTAGGTTTTGGTTAAGTTTATAGTGCCAATTAATAAATTGGTGTTAAAAGTAATTTCCAATTAACCCTAACATTTAATGATTGCATCAAGTGTGAATTCCAATTCTGGAGGGAAGAAAAAAAAAAAAAAAAAAAAAAAAGTTTCACTTTCTAAGCACCCCTTTTCACCGCTGTGAAATTATCACCGACTTGGGGTGAATGTTGTTAGGTAACCATTGTCATTTACCTGAAGAACTGGTTAAGTTTGCTATACCAGTCAGAAACCTGTGCATCCAGAGTAATGTCTGACAAGCAAGATGGCGTAAAACAAAAAACAAAACACTTAAATCATGTTTAATACAAGGCTTTTAT